CACTTTTGGCTCCTCATTCATTTCACATATTGAAATATAGTTTCCTGTCTTTTAATGTTTGCAAATGTCGTTCCTTAAAGGTATAAGAATTAATTGATAACTTCTGTAGGGTACGCGTTAAGTGAATCCGTTTTTGACTCTTCTCGCACTCACCGTTTTTTGGGTCTTTGGATGTATTTTTGGGCACCCATTCTTTGTTCGTAACAAGGGTTGGTAAATGTTACATCTGCAGGAAGATTACAATGCATGGAACTACTGGAAAATCCCATTGCCAGAAATCGGTAGCTTATAGGGAGATTGGATGGGATATGAAGTTTTGACAAAGTACCCACCACTCCAGGACTGACATTCTTCACCATTGTATCTTCTCCTGCCCAAATTTAGATGCCTATTCATTCTTGATGGCTTGATGCAGTCAGTATATAATACCAAGTCTTTGTAACCCATAGGTGGATTCACTTCATGTATACTGTCTCTTAAAATGTCAATCAGGCTTGTCTTTATAACTACAAGCCATCAATAAGCTCCCCTCTGTATTCATTCATTTTATCCCCTTTTCAGAAAGTGTGTTACATAATGCAATGTTTAGAATCTATGTAGTTTGCGTTTAGAGTTCTCTTTTTTTTACTCGATGGATGTACTATGTTCTTGTTCGCCCCACCCAGACTGCATGAGTTGGTAATGGAAAACAATAAACAATTGCCCTGAACATGAGTAAAAATGAGCCATTTTCCTGAATTGTACGGAATTATAAATACTAAGAGCCCGTTTGGTAGCACGAAAATAGGCTGTTTTGTTTGATTTTGCTGAAATTTATGAAGTTTTGGCTGAAGTGGGTGCATTGGTTGATTATGTTGATTTAAGAAAAAAATTTAAAAATATATTTTATTAATAAATTAAAGAAAAAATTATATGTAATAATAGCTAAAATGGTCATCTACAGTAACTTCAGCCAATACAGTCAGAAAAGTAACTTCAGCCTTACTTTTTCTGCTTATTACACAATTCAGCACGCTTAAAGCAAAAATGACGTGTTTGGTGAAAAAGTGTTGGCTGATAAGCTTGATAAGCCGAAAAACAGTGTTGACAAACGGCCTTTAAATCTATTGAATCGTATTGTGATATTAATGTATAAAATTGTTAATAGGTGACAACTGCGGCACCCATTTAAAAAATAGTGTATCGTACCTATCATTCACATGATTGCTCCAAATCACTACATCATTTTTAATTTAGATTTAAATAATTCAATTGCATCATTCTGATAGGTCTATGTGGATAAATGTATGATATCATAGAATCTACATAATAGGTCATTATGATTTCAACATGGCTATTTTATTTCTGAGTGGTGGCCGATATGGAATAATTAAGGAAGCGTATATCATACAGCCGGTTGTACGACTGACAGCCTGACACCGTACAACCGGTGGCAGTTTTGTAATTTTGGGGAAAATCATGGTTTCTCTTAAATGAGCATTAATGTAATTTGGATGAGCATCAATGATCTTTGTTTCATATCTTCAAATTCAGTTTTTTTTTTATTATTTGTTCGTTTATAAAAAAAATCCTAAATGTTGTTTATAATTAATTTCAACATGTGAATCTAATGTAGTATGATATGTTTGCTATGTGCAACATTTTAAAATGAGTATAAAGCAGTATCAAATGAGCATACAGAATTTACAAAATGAGTATAGAAAAATTCAAAAGCTCATTTGTGTATGCTCATTGATTTTGAGCGTTAAATTTGAATCTTTATGAATCCAATATATAAATTTGATGTAATATTATACTTTAAAAAATGCATGAATATGATATTTTAAAATGAGTTTACACCAATACCAAATGAGCATACACAAATTAATATGATATTTTCTTCTTTCTTTGGCTGAAGGGTCAAATGGACCATCGAACTAACTTAAATGTGCAATTCACCCTATATTTAAGAGGATTTGTCCGGCCGTCGTCAATTGGGGATGTTTCCGGTGAAATTTTTTGATGACTTTTTTTGAGCATCTTCTTCATTAATTCAGGTTTACCTATACCAAATTTCAGATAAAAATTCAACCGAGAAGACAGTCAAATGATTTTCTGAAATGTACTGCGCTGTTTAACTGCGCAATTATCTTCAAATATTCATTTGACCACCTTCCTGATTGAATTTCTAGATGAAATTTGTTATGAGTAAACTAGAAAAGAGAAAAAAAGGGGGGACATTCCTGAAATAGTATTTAATGAAACTTTTTTTTGGAGGAGTATTTAATGGCACTTTAATTGCATGAATTTGAGTATAATTTCGAAGCCCCTTAAATAGGACTAGCTTTTCGATTCTATCCTTGCTTTTTTTAATCATAAAAGAGCGGTCGTTATATTAAAATCAAGAACACATACAAGACAACATCCAAACAAAAATTACAGATCCAATCGTGAACCCTTGGAGTAGACTTAGAGTCAGTCACCTCATACAAAGCAACATGACTCGGTAAAATCTTTCCACAAAGCTCTTTCTGGTATAGAGGTGGTTCCAAAGGAGGACAGACTCTTACAATATGAGTGAATATCAACTCCACCACTTTCGTAATGGCCGACCAAAGCTTCACGATCCCGCCTCGACACAACCTCCAGCCGCACCTCGTTCATCCGCCAACATTATCTCCTTTGACATATTGCAATCCCAAACGTTAGAATACTTGAAAATCAGTATAATCTGCCGCTCCAATCCCATATTGACAGAGGCGGCGGAAAATCTCAACCCCTACAAAGAGGGGAGACAACCGCTCGATTCTATCCTTGGTTTAATTATTGCAATTCATATTTCATTAATAATTAAAACATAATCTTATTTATAATAAAAATGTAGAAAGAAACGAAAATAAATACTACCTTCGTCCCCCAAATATTGAGATTGAGACAAAGGAGAATGGTGCAATTTTTTCCCTTAAAATTAGAGTTATGTTCTTGATAATGAATTGATAAATCTATTCTTTCTTATATAAAAGGAAAAGAATTTCAAGACACTCTTCCCGCCCAGAACTGTCAACCTCATGTGTTAATTTTTGAGATATTACCCAAAATATGACTAAAAAGTTTTGAAAATTCCAAAATAGGACTGCCATATTTTCATTCCCAAAATAGGACTAATTATTGTCATGTTTTGGCAGTACCGGACTTCAAACATGGCAATATTTTCCAAACATGGCAGTAATTACTCCTATTTTGGGAATAAAAAACTTGGCAATCCTATTTTTGAATTTTCAAACTGTTTTAGTCCTATTTCGGGAACATTCCCTTACTTTTTTTATTCGTTTAAGGGATAGACTGGGCCAAAGTTTCCTCTTCCAGATCTTGTCACTATTCATCCTCTTAAGAATGAAGAAGAAACCACCTCAAAGCTGCATGCTCCTGCAATGGCAGTAATGCCAACCACTGATATTGAAGTTCCAGTTATGTAGGCACACATCAACTGTCAGAGATATGTGTTTACCCTACGTGATAATATGGATTCTATGTTTCTTACTACTATGCCGCTGCATTCTTACTTTTAAGATGATCTGTGCTAAGAAAATTTTGTTCTTTTTAAACGTTTCAAACTCCATTGCGTCATTTCTGTGTTTCTATCATTTAACGAGTTTTTATTCTAAATGTTCTCCCACAATTGTCGAACTTGCAATGTGGGCATCAATTTTGTCAGGTTCTAAAAGTAGTGTTGTGTGGTTAGTTTATATCTGGTTTTTAATTAAATACTTTTATTATTGTTCATCAGTTTTTTACCAAATTCTTCTTTGTGAGTAAACATGCATTAAAAATTTATTTTAACGTAGAGTTCTTAATTTTAGAACTGTGATCAGAAAGTTTTTTCATCTTCAAACCTCTTGCAATTGAAAATCCATTGTTTTACACATGCATGTAATATTGGCGTCATGTAAGTTCTACAATGAGGTGGTTCTACATGTTATGGCTCTACAATGAGGTGGTTGGCACTACTGCCATTGCAGGAGCATGCTGCTTTGAGGTGGTTTCTTCTTCATTCTTAAGAGGATGAATAGTGACAAGATCTGGAAGAGGAAACTTTGGCCCAGTCTTTCCCTCTGGGTCGTGCCCAAGCATGATCTTGGCCTTTATGCGCAACACTCCCTGGGATGATGATGATTATAATAAGACTAACAACAACGTATAATAACATTCAAACATCAAGACACTTGAGAACATTTGAATTAGTTTAACAAACTTGGTAAAAAGTAAGTGCATTTTGGTAGGGGTACAACTTTTCAAGGTCTTTGTACGTGAACATGCTGATATGAATTATAAGTTCTACTTATACACCAGCTGTCCCATTTGATGTCATAAACAAAATACTATAATGACTTCACTTAACTAGAGGTGCATATGCCCCATAAAACTAGAATAATTAAATACAAAATAAAAAGTTATTATGTAGCTTTGTACGAATTATATAATTTTAACATCCATATTTCCCAATCCACAACTTTGACCATTTACATATATAATTGACAATTATTTAAATGTCTAACAGATATTTTCAAGTTTCTTAGTAAGATAAATTTAATATTCTATTTATATTTTTCAAAATATGTTTTTTGGCACATTAACAAGTATGGTGCTGTTAATGTGATTAGTAAAAAGGTCAACCTATTAGAAATAATAATGTACAGAGGGAGCATAAACAAGTGAGACTTGCTTACCAATTATCAAGTCAAACTATTCACTTCTTTAAAAATATCAAAGGAATTAACTAAAGTAAGATGACGCAGTTTAACACACAATTGACATCTATGCAAAGTCAAAAGGACAGAGGGAGTACTTTTTTATTACATGTTTATTTAAATGAACAATGTCTACATTTTGCTTAGGTGTTTATTGAAATGAACCATAGTTGCCTTTGAAACATTTGGATGAAGTTCACACTTGATGTTTATTTGACCAAACAAAACTCTTTTATTTAACATAATGTCAAAGTGAGGAAAGGATCGGCAGACTTGTCTCATTAAAATGTGTCTTACAGCAGTGTCAATGTATTCCTTCACAGGTTGACCTGAAGAAATCATGTAACCATCTTTGAACTTCATAGATTTAGCACGTTGAGCTCTTAGCTTCCCACTGACAATTACCTGAAACAACAGAAAGAATTTTATCGCACTCTTTCCAGATGAAATCAAATTATTACATCAGGTAAATACCTCACAACCCTTTGCTCCGCTTTCCATAACAAATCGCAGGACACCATAACATGCCCTAAACAAATAACATAAATAATATCAATCAAAGTCATGCATAAATAATTATGCGCTTGTTATAAATTTCAAGACATGTTGCAATCCAAACAGACTTGTTAGCTTATAATGATACATAAGGCAACTCTTGATTTAGTCTTGTAGGAGTTGAAACACTGTGGTCATCTTCCGACACAAAATCAGTATGTAAAGTGACCGATTTGCTTTATAGATGACTATTGCAAAGGTTAAAACATATCTGCAAGCAATTGCATACAAACCACAGGGATTCTAGAGTGAACAGAATGCAAAATAGGAGTTTGTGTTTCCTAGCTAAACTTGAGGTGCCTGCAGAAATACAATCTCACTTGATTAGAGAGGAGGTTTGTTAAACAGTTTTTCTAGTCATCATCCGACACAAAAATGATATTTGAAAAATCAATTTGCTTTGTTGATGACATAATTTGAAGTATCGCTGGTAAGAGAATTCTAATTATATTATATTAATTACTGAATGACTACTGCATTCATCACTTTCTAGTTCATAAATCCAATTTTGGTTAAAACCAACAAATTAATACTGAATAGGTAACTTCATGGAAATCAGTGCACATAGCTCAATGAGCTTAACCTCCTAATAGCAAGACCACCAAGAAGTTTGTAGCGGAGGGACTCTGCCTGAGCAATGGCACAAAGACCCCTATCTTGCACCTTTTCAGCATACAGTTCCACAGTTTTCTCCTCAAACTTGAACCGTTTCTGGACCAGTGATGTCAGTTCCCTAATTCTCCTCCCTTTCTCACCTATGGATAATTAATTGAGAATCAGCAAGTGTGTGAAATACCTTGTAACACCCCCATTTTCCCACCCAAAAATACCTTTACATAATGATTTATTCAAAGGAATTTATGCTTTATTTGAAAACATCATAATTGTGCAGCGGAAATTTAAATGGAAATAAGGGGCGTTACCACCACACTCGATTCTCACATAACCGAGTGCACAGGCTATCCACCACCAACAATTAAAATTTTCCATAATTAATTGTTCAACTACAATTCCTTAAAATTAAGACTAAAATAAATTACTCAATCAACTTTAGTCTATGTGTTCTAGCGGAAGCTCTCGAAAGCAACTTCAATAAGATCCTCTATTCCTGCACAAATACAGTACAGAAAGAAAACACAAAAAAACAAAAATTTGCTTGAAATGCTAAGTAAGGGCCTACTCAACCCCGTAAAATAATCATGTTTGATACATATATAATTTTTCAAAATACATGTCAAAACCTTTTTTTTTTTTTTTCGGCATGTCAAAACCTTCTCAAAATACTTTACAATTCCTCAAATGCAAGTAAAATATTTGATCTCATAAATACACAAATAAATACACACACTAAACTGGGGTTCGTAAAAATTATTCCATCTCACAGCATATCACACATATGCAAGTAAAATAATGTCTTGATATCACACAGTCCTCCAAAATACTTTGTCAAATCTGTATACTTCCCAACATACTAAATACGGAGTAGTAATTTTAGAATAGCATTCATAAGTCAAAATAATGCTTATAAACTTTGAATAGTAGGATTTCCTTAACAACCCTTATAAGGAATAATTCTCCACGATAATCTCAATGGTAATAAAAAGATTTAATTCCACAAAATATTTAATCCTCCCATATGTATATCCAAAATTATTTAAGGTCTCAAAATAATTCCTCCAATAGATATTTCCATTCTCAATTCCAACCAAAGTAATACTTTATGTTTCTTTTAAGAGTGGGCGAAACTCAAGATTCCTCGAGCCCAATGAGTCGTTGTTGTCTACGACTCATCCCGGAATTCCGGCTCCCACCGACTACCAATTGGAAGCTGAATTTTTACCTTAAGTGTGCACACCCTCTAAAAGAGATTTCAAGCTCTCCGAGTAGTAAGAAATCCAAGTAGGCAGGATGTTTTCTACCACCTACTCACAAGGGACATTGTCCAAGGGTAAATTAGGTAACTACTACTACGACCACCAAAGGATCTTTGATCCTCAAATAAAAGTCCTGGATGTCTACCGGAGCGTGTCATTGCCGGACTGGTTACCGACCCAAATAAATTTCACCAAAAGTAGTAGTAGTCCTAACCACCCACGCCTCGTGTTTCTCTCGAGACATAAAAATATATTATGAAAACTTTAAGTTTTCCCCAAAATGATGCTTGTCACACTTCCAAAGATATTCTCTGTAATAAATATCAATCCACCAATATTCTTTAAAAAGAATATACATTTAATCATCCATAGAAAATAATCCATCAATACTCGTATATTCAAAATATTCCATCCATATCAATCATAAACATTCATGTCATAAATAATTTTCATAGTTCAAATATTTGATACATGTAAGCATGCGTAAATCATTTTTGATTGACATCGAAACCTACGTTACTATAAAAATAAGCACTAGTTATACTCATACAGAAAGATATTTATTTTATATATTGTACCAAAATCTCTTAAAATCATTTGTAGCTCAATAATAATTTTGATAGAGAAATGCTCGTAATATTATTCAAGTATGGAATTTTATAAATAAATATTTTTATTAAAACATCTCAAAATTGTTAACGAGGTAAAATAGTAAATTTTGGTAAACATAAATTTGTACCCTCATCATATATCTAAAATAATAATTTCAAAAAGATACTACAGTTATCGAAATTCCTTCAATTATCGAAGAGGTGAGTTATATATACATTTAAGAAAACTTAAGTATTTGAAATCATGTCTTCAATATCAATTAGCTTAAAAGTTATATATATTTACCAAGACCTCTCAAATCACCTACTCCGTATAATTTTATAGATTTAACACTAGTTATAATTATACATTTAAATGTAGTAGTGGTTTAAAATATATTTATATATACATCGTAATTTCAAAAGTGTCTATGAGATGGACATATTAATAAAATATATATATAAACTCTTGTATGTATATTACTAGTCTCAAATACATATAATTTCATATCAAAGCTTTTGAAATACTACGTAGTAATCATATAAATAGTAATCATATTTCCAAAGGTAGTCATACTATATCCGATCTCAATTGTAGTTTTCCAAAAGTAATCCAAATCACACTTTCAAGATCAATAGACTGATTTTTGTACACAAGATAGCCATATTTCTCATATCATAAATTTTATCAAAGTTTCCAAAACTTATCGAGAAAGTCACAAATTTAATAACGCTAGTAAAATAGTAATTTTAGCAAGTCCAAATACTTGACATATTTTCAAATACGCTAGGTAAGAAACACTTACCTCAATTCGTGTCACCCTTGTTATTTTGATGTTCACAGCAACCACCTTTTAACTATTAAAATTTCACAATTAGTATTTTATTCTATTTCTTTTTATCCCATTTCTCCTAACCCAATTGATTTTCTTATTATTATCATTATTATACGTATATTTTGGCCAGCCCAAATTAAGAATATCCAATTTAGATTTAACCAATCCAGTTCAACTATTACCTAGCCGAGTTATAAATGATATCAACTTTATATGAAGGTAAAGTGTAATACGGAAGAAAAGAAAGCTGACGGCATACTCAGTTAATTGTCGGCGAGCTACGGAAACAGGGGAAGAACGCCGATGTCCATCTCCGGCGTCTGGAAGCATCCTTTTACGTCCATCAGAAGCTTTCCAAGATCCTGGTGGCTCGGCGTCCATCCGGCGAAGCAGTGAGGTCCAGTAACGCAGCTCAACCGTTAGCCCGGCCTCAACTTCGGCGAAGCAGTGAGGTCCAGTAACTTATGCAGCTCTTATTATACGAAGTGCACATTACTACCCATAGAGTATATGGGAATCAATATATGGGTCTAACCCTCATGTACTACATACGTATGTATGTGACCATGTTACAAGAGTTACCGAGTACTATGTATTACTCCCTCCGTCTCCTTTTAAATGTCCTGTTTTACCATATTGAAATGTCCTTATTTAATTGTCTCATACCTTATCTGGTAAAGTTTGTGTGGCTCAAAATCATTCTTACTTTATTCCTACTTTATAAATTAATATCAACCACACAAACCCACTTTTCTTAAAACTCGTGTCACCCTCTTCCGTCTTAATATAAAAGGGACGGAGGTAGCATATGTCTATCATTGTTTTATATGCCTATTATATTAATATTATTGTATATATGCATTATTAATAGTGGCGTGTACATACGAATGATTACCCATGTGGGTTTCTATGGCAAGATCCGAATATATTACACTCAGTATGTATTGGCTTGTTGGCATATATGATGAAACATGTCATGTGACTACATACATTGGTAGGTTGATGTGGATCTATTATTATTATTGATATGTGTACTGCTCCGTATGTATTACAAAAGTCAGCCTTTCAACACTTTCATTTTTTTTTTTTGTATTATATGAAGTGTATTTTGGCACACATATTATTAATCGAATTGACATTGGTGGGATGTCACTTTTATTGTTTATATTATGTGTATATAATTATCACTTATCATAAAAACGTCGTTTTTTTTTTATTTAAGTGACACACTTATCTGGTCAACCTAGTACTTATTAGAATGTCACTTTTGAAACATTTTATCTGACTAATAAAACTATTTATTTTATTTTAATTTTTTGGGGTATCACATACCTGCTAAGCAAAAATATTGGTGTTCCACACAAAAGACGCTAGCCACCAAGACAATAACCTACTTGTAAAATGTCTACTTGCAAAACCAGAGCTTTGTTTTTACAAGATGAATGTGTGTGTCTAAATCTTAGAGTTGAAATTTCATTAATATTCAACAGTAGGCAATTGGATCTATTCTAAGAATCCATGCATTCACATAAGATGTATAATAGCCCATTAATGAACATATACTTAATGTAAGATATAACTCGAGTAATAAACAGGTATATGACAATGGGAATATAAACAGGTATATGACAATGGGTATAAACAGGTGTATGACAATGGGAATATATTATACACAGAATTCTGCTTCGTTTAGATAAATCTTATCTGAATATCAGTAGGGAACATTATGAACCCGCACCCAGTGCTTCATTCAGATAAATCTTATGATAGTATGTGGAATATCAGTAGGTTTTATTTCTTTCACAATCAGTAAAATTTTCTCAAACCGCCATGGACCGCCATCGATCACACGCTTCATATCAACAAGATGATTAAAAGTTAAAAATATACCTCTTCTCCTTGATCTCCTTGATCTCCACGCCCCTTCCCGGCCTCCAAATTGACGCAATCGTCTCCCTGAAAGCTGAAAACTTCATCTTCCTGTCCGTGATTAGTGTGCCTACCACTGAGAAAATCGGCCGCTCCACCTCCGATCCGTTGGTTCGTCCTCGGCTTCGACATCATCACAAACCAGTTCCACTTCCTTATCTGCTACGCTCATCTTCCGATATCGGTCAGCAATGGTCTCCATCCAGTAAAACACGCCAGACTCACCGCCCGACCTCACCCCTGCCCTCGAACAAAAAACCTTTGGTCTCCCTTGTCTCGAGTTCCCTGCAACTCCTACCCCGAGCCCGAACCTCCTGTCACCGACCCCCCAAACGCCGCTTCAATCCAAATCGCAACCACCGAACCTCGACGAAAATGCCGAGATCGGACCAAAAGACTGGCGGCATGGATGCCCTAGAGAGAGAATCTCTCGCCCTTATTTTATGAACTTCATTGAGGGTAAAAAAATTGGAATTAAAAACTATAAAATCAAATCATTATGAAAACACTCGTAAAATATATTAGAA